AGCCGGCGGGGACGGCTGGCCGAGCGGCCCCCAGCGCCGCCCGCCCCGCTCGGGCTCCGCGCCCGCCGTTATTGTTGCCCGCCGCCCCCTCCTTTCTCCTCCTCCTCCGCCGGAGGAAAGAATTCATCCAGAGACTGAAATCTCGCCCTTTTTATCCGCTTCTTCCCACCCTCCCTCTCCTTTTGTATGGGGGTTTTGTTTTGTTTTCAGCCCGGTGTTTTAAAAATACCCCGAAAATGGCGATTTTTAGAGAGAATTAAAGAAAGTGGCTTTTCTGTGGAAAGGTGTCTTTTTAAACAAAAAGAAGCACGCTCTATATATTACATATATAACTACCTATCTTAGTTTCTGCAGGGCAGCTGCTGAGGTGGCTTGTGTAGTGGGTTTTTTTTAATTAAGTTTAATTTTGCGATTTTTTTTTCCTAGAAGTGCTATTTTAGAGCGGGGTGGATTCTTCTCGGCTTCCCCCTCCCGCCCCCCGCTTTTTTTTTTTTTTTTTCTTTTCTTCATTAAAAGCCGGGAAAGCCAATCTGTTATTTATAAACCTGCCGGGACTTGACTGTCGCGATGTACAACACCGTGTGGGACATGGACCGCGATGACACGGACTGGAGGGAAGTGATGATGCCCTATTCCACTGAGCTGATATTTTACATTGAAATGGACCCTCCAGGTAGGGAGCCGAAGCCTGCGGGCCTGCCCCGGCGCCCCTCGCAGCGGGTCGGGGCCGCCTTTCATTCCTGCCTCCTCTCCCCTGCCCGTCCTCCCTCCTCCTTGCAGACTTTTCCCGTTTGGAAAAGGAAGGGGAATCTGCAGAAGGGGAGGTGGGGGGTGGGGAAGAAAAGAAATATCTGTAGTTAAACTTCGTGTAAACTTTCCAGGGACTTGAACCCCACTATCTCCTGGGCAAAAGAAGTATTTTAATACTGGGTGGGTTTTTTTGAGGGGGGGGGGGGGGATAACTGCGATTTATGGTGCTTTTGGGGAGGTGGAAGGAGGCAGGAAGAGGAGAGCTGCTCGCAGCCCCTCTCCCGAGTCTGCTTTTCTTTTAAGCCTTTATTGAAAACCGTATATTTCGGCTGTATTCACTTCTAGAGGAGCGTTTTTATTAGCCTCTTCACCTGTGCGCCTTTATGTGCCTGTAACACTTTGATGGTAGTGATTTACCTACCTCCATTCAGTTCCAGTTTAATCGCTTTTACTGTCTCTGAGACTGTTCTCTCACCAGCTCTCTTCCAGCACTGACAGATGAGGTGTGTGTTGTCACTGGGTTTCGGTGCTGGGGGGATAATACTTGCGAACAGGCTGGAATCCATCCCTAGAGGCACCGTTACTTTGATAATGCTTAATAACCTTGTTCAAAAGGGTTTGATGCAACTTCTTTTTTTTTCCTGTGGATTGCCAGTGCTGAAAATGGAGATACATGTTGTCCCTTTCTTGCCTGAAGTTTTTAGATGGGACAGAAAGTTTCTTTTGTGTCTGAGTGAGGGAAGGGTTACAAGGAGAAGAGGTCGAGTCTTTCTTTGGTAATGAATTAAAGTAAGCATAAATGGGTACTGCTGAAACTGTATCTGTACCTGTAAGAGTCTAACAGACTGAGAGCAGTAAGGTAGTTGAAGGGCCTTTATGTTCTTAGGTCTCTGATCTGTATGGCCAGAAGGTACAGTAAAATATGCATCAAAAATCTTAGCCTGCAGAGAAATTGATAGTAAATAAGTGCTTCCAAGTGGTGTGTTCTGTGTGGCATGTACTGTTAGACTTTCAAACTGCGCTTTTCTATCTGTGCTTGAATTATGGCTTGTATCTCCAAGTGTGGTTTAGTCTCTTTGTTTCAGTGCAGTGAGCTCTTTTTTTTTTTCCCTTTCTGTAGGTATGTGGTACTTTATTTAAAAAAGGAGGAGGTGATCATCCTGAGATTTTTGGATCTCAAGGACCTGTACTCAGTTCCCCTGGTAATGCTTTAAAAATTGGACAGATCTCTCAGATGCACAATACTGGCCACTAGTTAAATTCTTGCATAGCTGACACTACCAATTTTTAGATGTTACTCCTGAAAGCATAAAGTTCAATCAAATCTGTTTGCTTCTGTGAATTTCAAAGGTACCTTTCTTGTAAATGTTTTTGATTTTAACTATTCATGAGGTTAGTAGTTGTATTTGCTTGTATCAAGTGAACAAAAACACTGATTTCCATTGTAGGTGACTTAATTGTTGTGGGGGTCTTGTATTAAAAAAATAAAGCCCCTTGGCTTAGTGTGAGGAGGCTGCTAAAAAGGGCTGGCCTACCTCAACTGGTCAGAAAACAGCTTTATAGTATTTCTGCAGGAATTTGGGCATGCAGACTTACAAAGTTTACATTGAACAGCAGCACTTCTGTCATTAATAATGCCAGTCTTTCCATCATTGAAGCCCTGTTGTCAGGGACCAAGGCTCTGCACAGTCCAGACACCACTTAGCAAAAGGATTTAATGTTACATCCTGATCCCTGAAGTGTACGTTAACTTTTTCTTTCGTATTTTTAAACTAGAAAAGCCAGAGCTGGACATGATGCATGGGATGATCACCATGTGTAGGTCCTGATTTCATAGAACTGTAGCTTTTAAACTGCAGAGAGAGGGAGGGAGAGCATGGCAGAGGTGGTCTGCTTTTTCCTCATCCAAAGTGGGAAAGCGTTTTCTGGTCTGGGATGATAGGTCATCCCTAAGGGGAGTGTGGAGGTATTTATTTGGAAGACTTAAACACTCGGCATGCCTTGGGATAATGTCACTGCATTTGTACCCGGTAACAACCACAGCTCCATTTGGCCCACTTCCAACAAAAATTTGTGAAGGTTTTCAGTATAGCATTCCCCTGCGCAGTGGCTGGAGCTCCTGAGCAGCTGAATGATGGCAATATGTTTTCGCAGCAGCGCACAAACTAACAATACGCAGTGAGTGTCCCTGCTGCCAAAGGAGGCAGCACGGTCTTTTGTTCACAGAACTTGCGTGAAGAGATCCCTGGTTGGTCTTTATGCTGCAGGACTGGGCATCGACTGATACCAGGAGCCAAGTGTCTCAAATCATGCATGGCTGCTCGTGATTACATGTTAGTGCGTCTAAACTTCAGGCAGAGACCAAAGCAAGGTGAACATAATGTGCAGTGTCACCCGTAACCTCTAAATCAAGGGTGGGGATACTGTTTCTTGTTAAGGACCAGGAGACCTTTTAATTTATCTTGGCAGACTGTCTTAATACCCACCTTAGCATTGCCCAATAACGATGCAGAAATAAAATCCTGTGATGGCAGGCAGCCTGCAGCGCAGCCGTAGCTTCTGTCAGGCCTCAGTGCACCTGCACCAGCTTATCAGTTTGCTTGTGTTTTCTGTCCAGGGTTGTAGGTGTAAAGAGATGCTCAGAGAAGGTCCTGAAGCCTCTCTGCGAGAAGACTTGCTCAAAAGTTCAAAAATAGTAAAGTTGATGCCTGTCTTGGGCAGAAGGTTTTTTTCCAACTCCAGCAGAGGCAGAGTCAGGCGACAAGGGATTGCCAGATTTCTGCTAGTTTTTAATCCATTTTAAAAGTAGGAGTGGGACAGTTTTCCTAAACAGAGTGGTGAAACTAGGGGTTCGTTCCGTCAGCCTTGCAAAGCATGTCTTAAAGCAATAGAACTGATACAGGAGCAACAGCGGTGACAACCAGCAGGGTGACTCCCGTTACCGAACACTTTTTCCTTCTGCTTGTATGGCTTTCGGCAGAATAACACGTGTTGCTGGCATAAGGTAGGATCTATATGTGGCAAATAATATGAGGTGCAACTAAATAACTTTCATTGTCTAAAGACAAAGCTGAAACAATCAGGTGTGTATAGCTAACATAGTAGCTTCTAAACTTTCTAATCAGGATCAATTTAGAATGTTATGGCCATAGCAGCATCATATGCTGGGTCTGGCATCAGGAAACCGGCTGTCAGGGGTTCACTTGCATGTTTGTTCTTGCTGTCCGAAAAGACAAGAAAATAGGCTACTGGATTGAATTTAGTTTTTACTTAACGACATCTTTCAGGTCTGCAAAAAGTTGTTGCTGTCATAAGTTAAGTTTTTGAACAGAGGATGTTGAATTGATTGCAGAAGTTATCAGAGTACCTAAAGGATAACTACCTATGTATTACTTCACTTCTAATTAGCAGGACCAAGTAATGTCTTTCCCTCTGTAGATGTGCGATATATTATCAGTTGTGTTGATGATAAAATGTGTAATCACTGAATAGATTTTGTCACAGTTGGATGAAAATCAGTAAGAGTGTTCCACTGGGATTTCAGACACAGATGTCAGCAAAGATATTTGGCTCAGCTGCAAACTAGAGGTTAGTTTCATTTGTGTGGGTTATGAAGAAAACCACAAGTTACTAATGCAGAATGGGCTCTGTCTATTTATGAGCAGATAATAGAATAAGTGTTTCTCCTAAAGCTATATGAAAGCTACCTTTTTGAAGCCTGTTAAGTCCAAATATGACTGACTGCGTTTATAACTTGATCCAACAGTCTTTTTCAAGCATATTACTCTTCCTTGCCTCATGTGCTGAGACCTACTGTGAAAATGCTGTTACAAAATCTTTTAATAATGAGGAGGGGGAGGCTGCAAGAATCTATAGGCTGCTTAGTTTAGTCTGCTTTGCAAAAGTAGCACTGCTGTTGTATAAGTGAGACAAGTACTCAAGGGAAAAGTGTATTTATTCATTATAGTTTCTATTTTCTTCTCATACATAATTTGACAACCCTTGTTTTAGGGAAGAGATACTATAATTGTAATTTGGAAAAACATAGGGTTCTGATCTCAAGGGCAGTGTTTGCTCGGATACCAGTTGTGCTGTATCATTATCAGTGTTATAGTGGAAAGTGAATGTGGCTTCTCAAATGGGGTTTGTGGTATGCAGTAGCCAGATGTAGGTGAACACAGCATGTCTATGCCTGACTAGTTTTCCAGGGGGAGAACAGATGCAAATTTTAATGGCATTGTCAGTATTGTCCTTCAGCTTATCTGAGCTGACTCTAGAAGCTTATCAAAGAAAAGTTCTGCTCTTGCACATCTTAAAAAAAAAAAAAAGTTCTACTAGTGCATGTAATCAAGACAGCAGCACTGTGGCAGCCACTGTCTTCATTGCAAGTGTAAGCCTTGCTGAAAGTCAGGTTTCCAAAAAAACAGATGTTGGGGTTGAGAGTTTCCTTATTACAGAAGACAAGTTTGTGCAGACTGTTTTGGAGTAGAGCAGGGAATAAATAAAAGCTCAATCATTTGTAGTCTGTGTTTCCTGGAAAATAGTTTGAATTGGGGGTCTCATCTCCTATGAGAACAGTGATGTGAAATGCTTGTATGTTGCTACACCTGCATTTCTCTACTGGCCCTTTCATTTAATGACGGCTGTAACCATTTTTTTTTTTATTTCTTGTTGCATTTTCAGGCTTGCTTTTGCATTCCTTGCATTTGTTTTTCATTTTGATGGCTCTGACTGTTAAAGAATATCACTCATCAGCTTTCAATTAAATACATGAACGCAAAAAATAGCATCATTAATATAAAGTGAAATGATGCTTTGCTTGAAATGGGAGAGCCTGCTTAAAAAGGCAGACATTTTTGTTTATCAATAGGCTTTCAGATGATGTAGTTGGGGAGGGAGAGCTTGCTGAAAGGAGTTGTTCAA